TGGGAGTTACGTTACGAGTTTTCCTCTCCTTGGGTAATTACGAGCACATCCTTCTCCTTGTTTCAATTACGTTAACAATTGTGCAATTACAGAATTTTTTCAGAATTTTATTTATTTACAATTTTCCCGTTTTTCGTCCCATTGTTCTTCAGTTTCGGATGAAATTACCATTATTATCTCTATTTATCGCGTTTTCTGAATAACGCTTAATCGATATCTTTCTCTCCATCTCTTTTTCCGGTACCAGCCGCCGCTATGTTTCCATGCTCGTAATCTCAAAGATACATCTAACGTTCCCAACGTTTTCGATCTCTCACTTTCCAGATCACGGCCTGATAACAATCCGAGAACGTTATAAAATTATGTACCCAGCCTTTCCGCGTTACTTAATAATTTCAATCGCGTAAACAACGAATCGAACGTCGCAATTTATATCAAAACACTATAATTAGCTGGATATAGCTTATATACCTTATTCCAAAGTGAATCTGTTCTTTAGATTAGAATCAGAATCTAATTCATCCAATTGTATTCTTAAACCTCGGGGAAACCGGCTATTGACCGCTCGAGACTCGAGACAAGTTTCGAGTTTATATAAATAGTGGGGAGAAGCATAAACACAAATAAACGTACGCATTTTCCATATCTCTTTCAGTAGAACGAAAATTCCATTCCCCCCCTTCTTTTCTAATCGAATTCTCCCGATCGATCAAAAACCCGTTTCCCCCGGTTCGCTGATGAACTTTTTGCCCGTTCCGATTCGATTCATATCGCGAAAATTAGTTTCCTAGACTCGAACTCGTTCCGTCTGATCGATCGTTACGTCACGAGGAAATTATCGAGAAGCGTTCTTGAAGAGGGGGAAGGAGGAGGAGGGATCCTTGTCCCGCGGAAACGCGTCGATCCAGAACCGTTCCTGTTTATGAATGGACTTGATTCCTCCTCTCCGTCCAACAGCCTCATTTCCGCGTCCACCTGCCAATCTACGCCCCCCCTCCTCTCGGTTTCCACCTTTCACCGCTCTATTTTCCCGCCTATTCGCCACTCTATCGAGCAATAGCCACGCGCCAACTCGCTTTACTTTCCGGCAGATGGAACGGTGAACGCTTTTTTTCAGTGTTGACGAATAAGTTTGAACACCGTCTCTCGAGATTCCAATTGGTCGAAGCGAGGGAACGAAACGGAGGATTAATTAGAGCAGGATGAGAGAAAAAACGTTATTACCGCGAAAAAACGGATAGGATATTGTTCTCGGGGGAAATGTGTTTCTCGATGATCGACATTTGACGCGAGGAACGTAAAAAAAAAACGGGGAAAAAAGCGTATATAGAACGCGTAATATAAGTATAGTACTCGTATATAGAACGTGTAAAGCGAGAGCGGTTTTTACGAGCAAACGGTGGCTCGCGTGGACGAAGGATAAAATTTGACGAGGAGTGGGGGAAGGCGTTCGCGCTTCGCTCACTCGGTTGACGGACCGTTTAAACGGTCGTATTAATTTATGGGAACGACGAGCCGAGTCGAATACACGTAGGCGCGGATAGAAACCAACGTGACGTGGCGTGTCAGGAATATCGAGAGAGCGCGTGTCCCGGAACGAATCGTGACGTTATCACCGACGATGGAATTAATTATCGGGGAAAAGGGAAGGAACGGTCGATTATTCCCGCGCTTGCTTCTTCTCTCGAGAAACGAAACGAAACGAACGTGGCGTCGAAAAGCGTGGGAAGAGCGATAATCGCGTGGCTGGCAAACGGGATCGTTGCAGATTCCGATGGCGCGAAATCGATGGCGTTTTCCAGGGCGGATTTACGGATCCATTGTTTCCCATCCATGTTTTCGATCTCGGATCTCGCTCGTCGAATTTCACGACGTCGTTGCGTTAATTATTCTCTCCGGATCGGACCGGTCGGAGTGAAATTGGCTAATAATTTTACAAGTCCGTAAACGGGGGAAACACGGCGGGAAGCTGTTAAATCGATGGTTTCTGTTATCAAGCGCGTGGAAACGGGCAAACGGGGATTCCGCGCGAGGAGGGGGGATTGGTAACCGGTCGGCCATTGTCGCACGCCAGATTTCCACGTTGTAGTGGCCCATTGATGGGTGGATTCGGTCCGCTATCTGCCTCGCCTCGGCCTCGATATTTGCTTGTTAAGTGACGGTATTGACGCGCCGCGACAAGCAAATATCCATAATCGAGGATCGGGTAATTGCTTTCGTTCGAGATACGAGCGTCCCCCTCCCTTCCATCCCCCCGATTCGAGGATGCATCCGTAGAAACTTTTCGCGCTTTATTGCCACCGAAACGCAATTTAACGGATTGGTAAGTTAATTCGGTTCCGAGTTTTCGAAGGACAAACGAGAATGGTTGATCGATTTTTCGCGACGTATCTTTAATCTCTTTTGGAACTGGAATTTTCGTACCAGTCTGAATATAATCGTCCACGAAAACGGAGTCCAGCTTTCTTGCGAAGCGAATTACTTTGGCCGGAGTTTACAAACGTTATTTAAAGTTTTGGAAGAACATTGGCTGGTGATTCGAAGTCTGTCCGTTCCTCGGTTCGGTGGCGCGGTCTCGCGACTTCCCCCTCCACTTCTTAATTCGGGATTAATTCAATTTCACGCTGTCGGCCAAAGTCCTCTCTCGTCCTCGCCATTGATTCCACTTTGGAATTTCGCCGCGAGCGAAAAAATAAACAAACGTATCCTTCGCTTCTGGAATCAATTCTTCCCCCCTCCTCCCCCCTTTTTTTCTCGCGGGCGTTTAAATCGACCAACTTTCCGCGC